TTCGTAGTCAGAGGTCTGCTTCTCCATTTGCTCCTCAAGCTTTTGCATCTGAGCTCTGAGGCTCATAATATCAAAGGTCAGCTCAACGACCTTAAACTCGTGTGTCTTCAAAGCTTGGGCAGAGTCCTCCGAAGATCGGACCCTACCCATCAAGTTCTTCAAATGAAGAGTCATCTGTGGACAAAAAAAAAATAGACATAGATCAGCACAATTCAACCACGCCGAGCTAAAAACGAGTGTGAAAATACTTACAATGGCTGCTCCCTGGAGAGTTGAGCAGAAAGAGGACTCAGGAGGCATGATAGAGACCCTCTGAATATCAGATTTAGGGATAGTGGATGAAATAGCCCTAGCAGCCAACTGAGCATTGTCAAAGAAGGAGTCTTCATTAGTCTCCTGGCCCCTCCCTCTTTTCGACTTTGGGACTCTGAAGAGGCAGTTGGGATGGTTGCTCAACCGGTCCGGGGGGTGCAAAGTCTGACTTGATTTCAGTAATTAGGCCCAATGCTCCCTCAATCTCAGAAGAGATGGGGGAAAGCCATCCCTGGCTCGGAAGTCTTTTAGGGGGCAAACTGGGCCCCTTGAAGAGGAGAAAGGGTTAGGGATTGAGATGAGGGAGTCTGTCTTCCCTTGCTCAAGGCAGGAGAAGAGGGCACTCCCAGTTTCTGTACTTTAACTCTGTCAACGGGGCTGCCTCTAGAGCTGGTCTCGGCCTTCCGTTTGCCACTTTTCCTACTCTTCTTCAGTAGGTCAACTTTAGCCTGGAGTTTCTCAGGGGTAGATTTCATTATGGAGGAACTTGGGAGATCTGAATCGAGCAAGTTAAACAGGAGAGAGAAAAAAGAAGGGAAGACAAGGGAACCAACTCAGAAAGTGTTACCTTCTATGTCTTTAGGTCTAACAACTGAGATAGGGAGCGGAGCTTCTATCGATACCTTAGGAGGACTGAATCCCTGTGTTACTAAGACCTAGGGTTTGATAAACTCGGAGTACTTCTCTGGATTACACTTCTCTAACTTTCGCTTTACCCCTCTCGTCATCAGCATTGAGCTCTGGTCAAATGCCTGAAAAATAACACAAGGAGAGCAAAGGTCAAAAAAGGCGACTCAACAATTCTCAAACCAGAGCTCAATCAGTTCGAGCAAGGGCTCACCTAAGTTATCAGGGGAGGACCAAGTTCTAGGGATACCCAGAGTATCAGTCCTGTCAATAGGGTTGTCCTCCAAGTTGATGCCCCCAACGAAAAGAAATTGTTTCTTCCAACCCTTATGGGAGCTCAGGAGGTGAGTAATGATCTGCCTAGCCATGGCTCGCTTGGAGATATATAAGAAACCCTCTGATGAGGTGAGCTTGACTTTAAAAAGATTCACAAGCAAGGAAAGGCTGGGGACCCTGAGTCCATGAATCTTGAATAAAACAAGAAGACCCATAAGTATACCCCAAAAATTAGGGGAGAGCTGAGCAGGGCGGACATTGAAGTGTTGCAAAACACTCTTGATGAAGGGATGCATAGGGAAGCAAAGACCATTCTTAAAAACGGCCATAAAGAAACATATTTTCTTATGAACTTGGGCAACGTATGTGGTGTATTTATCTGAACACCAAGAGAAAAATCGTAACGAGCACTGAGAATTTTCATATGAGAAGAGTCAACCTCACTAGGTCCTACGAGCTCAGCATGCCTAAAAGCAGCTTCTGTGACCGCTGCGCTATCAGAGACTCCTATCTCACTCACCTTGCCCTTACCTTTGTTAGGATTAAGAGGCACATAAGAAAATGATGGGGATGGTTCCTCAGTATTTTTCTCAGCATCGAAAGCATCCACACAGGAGAAATTATTGATTTACTCGCCTACATCCCCTAAATCAGTGTTCTCTTCGACAGACCTTTCCCCCAAGAGAGAAGTAGAGGAGCGTGTAACTCTGGAAGGAGTAGACATGACTAGACAGGAGAAAGGTAAACTGAAAGAACAGTAGAGAGGAGGAATACTAATTAAGCCCTCCCTGATAATCCTAGAGTCAGCGCAGTAGCTTCCAACATCAAGGATTCGCACAATAGAAGACCAGTCCACGAAGTGGGAGAGAGGAGACAAGCAGTAATTTTGATTCCAAAAGTAAAAGAACCGAAAGGCCCAGAAATGCAATGGCCACCTTGAATTCGAGGGATCTAGAACGAGAAAAGGTGAAAAAAGGACAAAAAGGGCGTACTTAGGTGGGAAAGAACAATGAACAGCAGCCTAGAGCGAAATGGAAGAAAGAGGGCAATGCGAATCTTCAAATCGAACCTACAAAACTCAATCTTGAACGAGAAATCAGAGAACTCCAAACTAGAAAGCCAGGAAATCGCAAAAAGAGAGAAACAACAAAGAAGTTGAACAATGGAATAGGGCGGTTTAGATAGTCGTTTGAGCATTTAAGGCCTAAGAGATGTGAATTGGAACGTGCACAAAAAACGAGAAAGTCATGATTGTTGAAAACCATCAAAAAGGCCTAACTCACATGCAAGCCAAGGTCAGCCACGTGCAGATCCTGCTCGGTTTAAAAACAGCTCAACCCCTGCCCAAGTCTGCTTGAACCAGGGACTAGGGGGCAACTGATGATATCTCAAACAAGCCCTAACTGTAAGCTCAGGTCAGGAGGTTAGGAAAAACACGAGCAACTTAGAGAACTAGGGGTGGAGCTCCCTTTAGGGAAATCGTAGCAGAACCGACCAGGAAATAGTTGGATGACTGCGAAAATTGGGTCTCATGCATGAAACTCTCAACCAACCAAGATTTTCTCCTAAAATCAAGGAGGATCCCATGAATAATGGGCAAAGATCTCGGCTAAAATCTCACAGAATAGGGGGCAGCCTTATAAATACTATGTAACGCCTCATCGAGAGGGGGAGCCAAAAAAAACCCTAATTGGATTATGCACTATCTTGTATTACATTCAAATAATCAATAGAGAAAAAAAAAGGAAGAAGAGCCTTCATTTGAAAATGGATTAGCCGAGCTCCAAAGCCGGTGAACCACTATATTCATACTGTGCGAATTTCCCTATCCCTTAAGAAACACTTCATCACTGTCATTACAAAGTTGGCAGCCTAACTTCACCGTTAGTCCCACGGCACTCTGTTCACCCACATTAGTCTGCACCATCAAGTTCAAAACAATTGTAGATTGGTAAATAAGTTTTAATTTTGCCGCACTTTGGTAATAGACTCCCCACACACATCGCACACAACAAAACATACACAGATCTGCACAAACCCACACATATTGCACAACAAACACAGACACATCGCACATAGAAAACCCACACACAGATCTGAACATAGATGTGCTCGATTCGATAAAGATGAAGAGTTGTAAGAGAAAGAGAGACTGAAAATGTGTTCAACGAAACTCAAAGTTGGGACCTCATTTGGTGTTTATCATATTTTTATTTTGACTTAGAAAACTAAGAGAACATTATTTTATTATTCTAAAAAAGTATGGTTCAGTTCCCACCATTTTGTAAAAAAAAAGAAAAAAAAATCTGACCAAACAAGTTTTCTCTTATTTTTTAAAATTTGAGAACAAAAAACTATTTTACAAACATAATCAAAACATTCCCTTATATTTTCTATTTCGTAGAATTATTTTTAGAATTATACAATTAAACAAGTTCTACGATATAAAAAATATCAATACACACTTTTCTAAATCTCTTTCTAAAAAATAATTTTTTAATACTATTTTTAAAGACACAAATTATATAGTCATTTTTCCAAATATATCACGAAACACAAGACACTTCTTTTGAAGTCTTAGATGATATAGTCACATCTCTAGTATTAATTTTTATTTCTATTTCCATTGCTTAAAGGGTTAGAAGACAGCTAAACTCATCCTCATCGTTATTTAAAGTCGTAACTCATACTAAATTAATTTGTACACTTCATTCTTTGTTGGCTATGCTAATTACTCAAATCGGTTTGTTTTTTAGAGTAAATATTGAACATAACTATAACATATTAACATATATTACCGTCAACCAATTAAGTTACCTCCTATATTCTCGGGTGAATCTCACTTAATCATTTGCCGTTTAATTAGTATAATGATTTATACTTTAGTTAGTGATAAATCTACATTCAACATAGTTACCTGTAATTACGGTGGGGGATTTACTAGCGTGTCTACGCGTCAAACCTTTATAGGAGTGAACCATGGGGCCCAATTATACACTGTTACTACACACCGTCAATTTGACACACCAAAGACTCCTTTGTACGTTGATCTTGATGTCGATTCAGACAAAGCCACGTTTCTACCGTACATAACACATGTCCATGGTTACTATAAAGGCATGGCACGTACAAGTAACCTTTTTTAAGAACACGTCTAATCTACTAACTAAATTTTTATTTTTAACTAATTTGGTGGGACTCCCTAAAAAAAAACTGCTCTAATTGGCTCGTTATTTTGTTAGCTAAAATTTAAAAAATCCTTGTTGTTCTCTAGATCTAGAGAGGAGAAAAAACCCGATAAACTGCTCGCCGCTGCCTTCATCGCCTTCTCCCAAGTAATTTTCTTTATCTCCCACCCCCAAGTTAGAGATTTCTATTCCAATTTTGAAATCCACCTCTCTTGGCCTCCCTCGAAACCCATTATGAAAACCCCATTCCCTCAATTTTTAAAAAACCTTTTATTTGAAAACCCAAATTCTAAAAACCCCCTTTAAATTTTGAAAATTCTTTTTTATAATAAAATATTTAATTTTAGACCCTATGAAATATTAATACAAGTATTTATGAAAAATTTAAATTATAATATTAGGATACGTGATAGTTTTAAATTATATTATTAAAAGTTAGTCAAAATTAATTGAAATAGTTAATTAAAATAAAGAGTACAATTAGAGAGAATTTTAAAAAATGATTAATTAAAATAAAAAATATAATATTTAAAACTGACTCTGCTACGTCGGTTGGGTATCTCTGTGACTGGCCTTTTGCCACTTTCAGCACGGGAGAGAGAGGACTGTATGTGTGTGTGTGTTTTCGTTTTTGATCAAGAGAAAGAGAACTGAAGCATAGAACTTTCCAACGATGGCACCCAGACGAAGACACAGAAAGGTAAGTTTGGTTTTTTCTCGTATTTTCTTGCATTTTCTCGCCTTTTCTTCTCTGTTTTGCTTTTTCTCAATTTGTCCATTTCTTTTTTGATGTGTAGCCGCGTTTATCCCGAATGGATGCTGCCATTGATGCCATGGCTCCACTTGGGTTTCCTCAGGAGCTTGTTATTAAAAGGGTCAAAGACCTTCTCAAGGTGAGAGAAACCCTCTGGTCTTCTGTTATGTTAGCCCCTGTTTGTCTGCCTAGAAAACACAGGAAAAGTATAAGGAATATGTAACATGTTTTAAGATCACTTGCTTTAGCTATTGTTTCCACTTGCCAATAGTTTTTTTTTTTTTTTTGGGTATTGTTCAACGAAGTAAAATTGGCGTGGTGGGTTTAGCTGTGTATTGTGACTTTTTTCCTGCATTTTTCTCAGAAATCAAGCAACCCTAAATGTGATTTTTTTTCGATACTCATTGACACACAACCTTTTAATTTTTATTGGTAATTTTTTGACCAGGGTTTTTTTCCATTCAGGTATATGGTGGAGATGAAGGGTGGCCTTTCATTGAAGCGGATGCCTATAAGGTCCTCCTTGATGCCATTTTTGAAGAGGAAGAGGGAAATGATGAAGATAAATGCAGAGAAGATGGGAGTTTGTTTAAGGTAATAGAGAACAACTTTCTTGAGTTCTTGTTGGTTCGAACATGTTGGTGGTGAGAGAACATGGCTCCTAATGTGGAATGTCCATCGAACTTGTCGGTTCGAATATGGCTACACATCTACACAGGTTGATTAGGCGACTTGCACAATAGCAATATATTTGGTCCATAATTATAGGCAATGGCTTCTTGAATTGTATTTAGTAAGAGTATGTCTGGATATGTTTGTTCTCTTAACTATAGTGTGTTCCTGTGTTTGTTGTTCTAGTGTGGGCTTTGGTATTTTGCAAATGTTGTTTAAATTGTAAAATGTGACCCTTCCGGTATACAAAAAGTTAGTAAAAACTTGAGCTTCATTTGTATTTGCACGGAGGAATTCCTGCAATGGGTTTATATAACGATCCTGATGATTCTGAATGGTGAACTTGAAATGGAAGAAGAATCAGGAAGTGAGCCGGGTGTACACCCGGCTAATCCCCTTTGTTGCTTTAGTCAGTCGGCGTTCAAGTAAAAGTGCACAATATATTATTGACTCTGATCTGCATACCTTTCTCGGGACCACGCCGGGCATTCATGGTTTGATCTCCAGCCATCGAGTGCTCTACATAGGTACTTAGAACCCATGGCCAAGCCTTTATGAGAAGACACTAAATCCCTTCGGAAGCCCCCAAGGGTTTTCCCTCGGTCTAGTATATGATTTCTTTCACGTCCTTCGAGGATTAGACAACTATTAACGGTATGTCATACCAACATGACTGACATTAATGAGCTGTCATACTTCATTTAATTCTAGGTTCTGAGTAGCATATTCGGCCCCGAGTATCCTACTTGCTTGGCTCCTCTTCTTGGCAAAGTGAATGCATTTTTACAGCTGTGGGTAAACATGTGTCAAGTTTTTATTGGCACGCCGCCTAATGTCCTGTCATTATTAATGTTCGGATGAAAATTATGGGGGAGTAGTGAGTCAAACATTCGGGCTTGCTTGTAATTTGTTCTTGAAGAGTGCTTTGAATCAGCTTTAGATTTTGATGAGCTTTAATTAGAGAATAAAAATGAATCCTGATATCTTATGTTGGCCTCAACATCTCTTTTTACATACGATTTCTATTGGATATTTCACTATTAGCATGACTTGCATTGTGACAACTTAGTTGCATACAGAAGGGCAAGTGACCCATCCCTCTAAGAGCTCTGTGGAGCAGTGTGAGACTCATTTTCAACCTAGTGTTGATACTTGCTTTGGTTTCATTAGTTGACACTAGCGTCAACACGCAACCTGTAACATATAACTTCATCCTAAATATGTATAGTTAATTTATTTATAAGGATAAATTACAATTTGAGCCCCTAAACTGTGGACTTAATTTTACTTTGTTCTTGAACTATTGAATTTTTCACATTGCCCCTCAACTAATTTTATTTTTGACGTGTCGGGGCAAAGTGAAAAAAGTTCAGGGAGTAAAATGAAATAATTTTCTGTTAAATATATAATGGATGTAAATAATTGGGACAATGTAAAACTAATCATATAGTTAAGGGGGAAAAGTGCATAAAGTATCATAGTAGAGGTTGTCAAAGTGTAATTTTCCCTTTTTATGACCAAGACAAACGACAAGGGCTTATTCTTGATGTAAGCATACAGTATTTGAAAATTCACTAGTTTTTATTTGTGCTCGGCCACTCCCTAAGGGTGGTGGTGAGAGGTTGAGGGCAATTGCTCCTCCCCTCCTGGAGGCCCTGTTCTACCTTTTCTTGCTGGATTCAGGTAGGAGTATAGATAAAAGTGTTCAGAGTTTGCATAACCTCAAATCTCATCAAGCTTGATGGTTAAATCACTAACTTATAATGTCATATTTGTTGTGAACATAGAAGGTTTTCTGTGCTTATAAGCTTTTTTGCAGGATGACTCATTGCACGATGAAAGAACTGGAGATCAAGCCACATCAGTCACTGCTGGGCCCTCTGGTGCAGTAGTTGAACCCATTTTCTCTGAGGTTGTCAACACTGCTTCACAGAGTAATAACACAGGTTATCTGTTTCCCTTGCTCTCTTGTTTTCTCCTTTTAAGTTGTGCTACTCTTTGAACTGCAAGAGCTTGCCTTCCTGCCTTTCTTGATCAGCCATGCAAATCAACTGATCCTGAGATAGCAACCATTGGTTTCTGCATCAAATTAAAAAATTATGATACTTTTTCAACATTATTCTGTGTACCGTGGTTTCTAACTTATTTGTCAATTTAACGTCACATGAGATCATGGTTTATTTAAATCCATGTCATTTAATGTAAAAGTTTGATTGCAAAACACGTGATCTTCTTTTGTGAAACAATTGTGTTAGTTGACAACTTTTTGTTCTTTCATAATTCAATCAAATAATAACGTTCAACAAAACTCAATAAAAAGTAACACATTCTACAAGATTGCATTTTCGTGGATAAGAATACAAGAAATAGCATGTAGGATGCAAGCAGCCAAGTGATTTATTCTTTTGTTGATAACATAAACTCTTTTTCTTGCAGAAAGTGGAGACTATATTCCACTAGCTGAAGAGCATGGCAAAGTCTGGAAAGAAATTGGTTGTACCGATCCATCTTGCAGTCTAAAGAAAACAGTTGATTCAGTCGGAAACACAAATGGGAATACTGGAGGTGGAATACATCTTGTAAATGCGCCTGACATCAGTTGTTTGGATCGGTCCTGTAGCCAGAAGGAAACAGTTGATCTAGTAGGAAGCACAAATGAGAATTCTCGAGTTGGAAAGCATCTTGAAAATGCTCCCGTCTACTCGCCTCCACCTTTGATTCCCTCATTACCAAGTAAGAGCCTTCCAAACCGAAGGCACAGACCTTGTTATGGGTGGATTGAGGATGATGACAACGATGACGATTTCATAGAACTTACACCTGCACCAAGATTAGCACCAGCCACACTGTTAGGGATAGTTGGAAACTCGAATCGTGGGACTGAACAGCAGGTCAAGCGCAAGACAAGGTGGGATCAGAGGCCTGAAGATCTATAAAAAACCTCTCTGGTATGTTAGAGCTGTAATATTGTGACATGGATGTTAATTAGGCAAATTTGTTTGTAGTTTGTAGCATTCATCAAGCATGTTTTGCTTAGCAGTTGCATTGATTAGATATTCAGGACCTGATTCTTTTGTTTAGAAAGTATCTTGATTCTTCCCTTAGGTAGTGTTTAAGGTGGCATTTGGGATGACTTAACGGAATTTAAAACTTCATTTCATCTCCTTGTGATTAGGCCTCAATGCACTTCATTTATCAAAATTGATAGGGATAAAAGTCTGAAAATCTGTTTGGGTATAGTTTCACTAATGCTATTTTGGGAAAGATTTAGAAACAATTTTTGGCAGTTTCTGAGACTTAAGGGTGTCATCCCTGCTAAACTATTGTTCTCCAAGTGAAATGCAATTAACAATGACAAGTTTCCTATAGAATTAGGAATTTTCCCAGAAAATTTGTTTCCCTCTAGAACCAATCTTTGTAGCTTTTGGAGATTATTAATGTAGTGAGAATCATACCTGTGAATTGATTATCGTTTAGCCATAAATTATCTAAGTGAGGAAGATTACCAATTCTGGAAGGGATAGTTCCATCCATTGTTAGAGTACTTATGAGTTCGTTTGAGAGATTGCCAAAAGACTTTGGTAGCACCCCTCTCAATTGGTTACCTCCTAGTGTCTAAAAGTTCAGCTTGCTGCAATTGACCATAGAACTAAAGAAGTTCATTTCATCAGATTCTCTCTGCTTCTAGCATTATTGCCAACCATCAATATTTTCTGAATCTTCTTTAGGCCTCCAAAATTGTTCCCTTTTTTTTGTATTTATTCAAATTGTTGAGTCCCACATCAAGGATTTGCAAATCTGTCAAATTGGATATGGGTCCGGTCCGGTAAATAGGTTAAGGCGTGTAATTCAGCGATTTTGAACATGGCAAAGGCGGATGAGCACCAGTAAATTTGGATATTGAAGTTAATGTCTTTCTCATGGATGGTGAGTGGAACTTAAATTTGCCATTGGAAGGTTGTTCTTTGGAAATTATGGGTTACTATAGCTTTTATTGTGAAGAAGTGTATTGTAATTGGCATTCAAAAACTGTCTACTGAACCATAATAGAGTGCACTTCCATTTTCCCTTCACTAGCCACTCAACTTGAACAATGATGGCAGAAGGCGGCCATGAAACAGCAAGTTTGGATTCAAACTTAAATTGTAACCTCTACAGTATCAATACTGAAAGTTACTTACCGAAAAAAAAATACTGAAAGTTAAAATTTTTTAAAGTTAAATTACAACTTCAAAGGACATGATCGATCATGGAATGTTGAGATTAATACTGCATTTTTTATGATCGATCATGAATATCTGTTATCAATCATGGCTTCCTTTGAACAGTTTAATTTCTCTATTGAATTTTGCCCCCATCAGGAATAAATCATAGCTCCATCCATTGCTTAGATGGTCTACTTCACTTCAAATTAAATATTTTATCCTTCAATTTTTAACAAAATACTTATAAGGATCATAAATAACCAAAATAAATCAAATAAATGCGCCAAAAACGATTAATCTATCGCAACCAAATTCTTTAAGTCCAAACAATCAAATATCTAATCCATAATAGGCAAATTCCCATTAATATAATCCAAAATGAAACCCAAACTAGAATTTAACGTAATTAATCAACACAAAGAAGTAAGGTACATGATATTGGAATTAAAAAAGAAAAAAAGGCTCAATTCCATAATAAATCTCTTGAAGGCGGTAAACCAAAAAAATAAAATAAAAATGTTCAGTCACAAAAGACTTTTGCGCACTCTTTTGTTCTCTGCCATCTTCTTTCCAAAGACGAGCAAAGTGAAAAATAAATGAACACAGCCTCCTGTACCATTACACTTACAACATCACGTTGAAGACTTGGAGATCAAGGGAAGAACGCAATATTTCATTTTCTTTTCTCATTGCATCTTTCAATTGTCGGATTCCGATTGTAAGTCTTTGTTTTTGAAAAATATCTTCTTCTTTTTTTCTAAATTCAATGTTTGACATATGGTACCATTATATTTTTTTGGCTTGTTAAACTGTGAATTAAGTTGCAATTTTTTGGAATTTTATTGGTCCCTTTTAATTGTTTGTAAAAATTGACCATAAGTCTAACCTTTTTATGAAAATTAGTGTTTTTCTTCTTCTTTTTTGAAATATGTTTGCTTAGTATAGTAAAATGTGATTTATAATGCTATTCATGTCTAAGTTAGGTTATTGCTTTTAGTTATTTTTTGTTTGCATAGAATATATATACTCACTTTAAGACTTTTATGTTTAATAAAATTTTAAATATCAAATATGATGTAAAAAAAAAATTGGACAATTGCACTTTATACTTTGAAAGATTCTAAAATTTTAACTTTGTACCCTTCAAGATTAAATTTTCTATATTATACCCTTAATGCATCAAAAGTGTTATAATATAGCCCTTCTAGTAGCTTTTTGTTAATTTTTCTATCAATGTTAATCAGGGGCAGCTCAAGGTTATTTAAGGCCTAAAGCGGTAATACGAAATAAGACTTTTTTATTTTTAGTATTATTTTTAAAAAACAAAAAATATTTTTAAAATTTTTTAAGTGAGAGAGGAGGATGTGATACTTTATTTTTGTTTTTTAAGAGAGGGAGAGAATATATGTGAGTAAATATGAGTTGACTTTTGAATTTTTTTATGTTTGCTTTTTAAATTTTTATTTTTGAATTTCTAATGTTATGAATTGAATTGTTGGGCCGAATTACTGAAATTATAATGTTTTTGATTGTACTTAAATTTTTTATGTAGATTAGTTATGTACTTAAAATTATGGGGCCTAAAACCCATGTTTTTTTTAAGGGTAAATTGTAAGGGAGTACACCAAATTATACTTATTTGGTAAAAAGTACACACTAAAAAATGTAGGGTTATTAAGTACTTAATTTTGATACTTATTTGTATCTAAATACATAATTTGAATTTATCTATTTTTATTATAACATTTTTGTCTTCCATTAATTCATATGTATTTAATGCACCACTTTTCTTTGAAAAGTGGTGCATTAAATATCTTCTAGTTTTATGGGAGGACTTTATATATATAATTATGTATGTATATACTTGTTGTTAAATCTCTTATTTAAATTTTGAATTATCTTTTAATGCACCTTGATTCATACATTTTTTTTTAGAAAGTGATTTTATTTTCAAATTAATTTAATATCTGAATAGTGTAACAATAACAGTATAACAATATAAAGTGTAACAATAACAGTGTAACAATAACAATGTAACAATAAAAGTGTAACACTAATACACTAATAATGTAACAGTATAACAATAATAGTGTAACAAACTATTTATACAAAATATTGTCATATTACATTTTGTCAAACATATAATTTCATTCAAAATAGTCTATCTTCGTTTTGAATTTGTTCCTATATACACAAAACTACTGAACATTGTTTTTGTTACAGTGTATTTGTTACATTGTTATTATTACACTGTTATTGTTATACTATTACATTATTCGGATATTAAATTAATTTGAAAATAAAATTATTTCCCAAAAAAGAAACGCTTGAATCAAGGTGCATTAAATATAATTTGAAAACAAAATCACTTTTAAAAAATAAATACGCATGAATCAACGTACATTAAAGATAATTTAAAATTTAAATAAAAGATTTAATAACAAATATATATATATATTAACAAATACACATGAATCAAATGTGTATTAAATACGTATTTATATGTATTAATAAACACACATGAATCAAGGTGCATTAACGATAAGATATTTTGAATTAAATGACCCTAAAATGAGTATTTATGTCTTTTTAACTCACATTTTATTCTATGTACTTTTTGTGAAATAAGTCTAATTAGGTGCAGCGGCTTCCAAAAAACCTTTTTTTTAACGCTGTTGGGCCGGCCTTAGTGTTAATGGGTTGACTTTTAATGAAAAAAATAATAGAAGCCAACAGAAATGTTACATTGTAACACTTTTAATATATTGAGGGTACAATATAACAAATTTAATATTTGAGGGTGTGAAGTAAAAAACTTAAAATTTTTTAGGGTGCAAAGTATAAAAAGCTCAAACATAAGAACAAAATAAAATTTATAATTAAATTATGCCCATATTAGATAATATTGCTCACTCCGCCACTGATTCTGTCGTGACAAAAAGACCACTGACCTAATAAGGCAAGTCTAAGAGACGACCCACAACAATCAAAACTCATCAAGACGATGAGCCTTCAACCTCATGGATTATATTACAAGGAAATTACCTTTCAAGGCATAAAAGAAGGTCCTTTTACGGAGGGGGGCATCTGCAACTTGACTGGTCCGTCTAAGCTTATCCTCTAACACTATATCAATCAAACTTAGCAACTTTGTCTTGCTTGCCATCGTCCCTGTTTTGGCGTGAGTTTATGGAATCCACGAACTCCCCTAAAATTCATATTTGAGGTTTCCACTATTTGTTAGAAAACAACCAACCAACCAACCAAGGTTTAAACATTTTTTCCAATTCCAATTAAGCCTGTTCGCCTGGTTATTCATGTTTGTATTAAACTGCTTTGCTTATTTTTTGTATTTTCATGTTGATAACAAAAATTGATAAGTTTTAGTCTATAAATTCGGAGTTTAGTCTATATCATGTTAACGTGCCGTTCCAAAATTGATATTCCTATCTACACCGAGCATGACTGAAGGCGTGATTTTTTTTTTTGCTAAATAGACACAAGATCAATCACACAGAAAAATTTCCAACTAACAGGACAAATTACAGGTACAGAGACAAGAAAATTCTCTGGAATTTACTAGACCACAACACCTAGACAATTACTGACCGAGTGCCGAAGACGTGATTGACAAAAGAAATTTAATATGAACAACAGAGGTTTATGAGTTTTTTCTCATGGCCCGTGTTGCAAGACGAGACTATGCGGATTTCGTTACAGGATCAAAAAAATAAGTTTTTTGATATTGTATGTTTTTTATTTAATTAAAATATAATACTTAATTTTTTTTTTTATTTCTTCAGAAAGTAGTTTTTCTATTACTTCACTTTAATCTATTACTTTTAGGATCAACAGTCAATTAAATTAAAGAAAATTCAATGGCAAAAAAAATAATTTTTGAAATAATGTCAAAATCAATTTCGATGCCGTCGTGCTAACGGTGCTAGACGGAGCTTGAGTCAAGACGTGCTTGACCAAATGACCAAAGCAACTTGACATGGCCCTTTTGCGAGATTCTGTGTTTGATGGACTATTTGTTTGTCAAGGTCAATGATTGAAATAATATATTCATCGTGGCCCCACCACAAGACTTTTGCATTATTATCATTGATACGCCTCTGGGTGCATTCATTACATACGGGAATAAAATGTGTTCATTAAAATTTTTATTAAATTTTATATTTTAAATAATGTGACATTATAATAGTCATTGGATAGTAATACTATGTACACTAAATTTTGTGTACTAAATGACGTGAGGTGTAGGTGTCGGATTATTGGGTCCCATTGAATGAATGCGAGACTGTCACATCATTTTGGTGCAGAGAGTTTAATTCACATAACATTTTTCTTGCAGGAATGACTTCATGGAGTGCAATCCTGTACTAAAAAAGACTTTATGGAGTGGAGTCGTCGAAGCTACTTTCTTATTGCACTGTTTTATCTGTACTGTACTTGAGTAAGGCATTGGACATAGAGCAATAGACCCTGGAATAAAAAAAAAGGGTCTAATTTCATAAAAAAAAAAATTATTTACTTTTATTTTCTATTCATCCTACCAAATACAAAAAAAAAAAAGTATCATTATTATTTTTTTTAATTGAAGAATAGAAAATATATCAATCCTACTTTTCATCTCTCTTATTTTTTATTTTTCTACCAAACGAAGCATAAAAGAGGTTCTTATGGTCAGGTCCGGAACTCAAAGCTGGGGGAGCTAAAGTTGCTTGGGATCAAGTTTGCCTCCTTAAGACATCTATGGCATTTGGTAACTATGTTTTGATAACTGGCATACTGCAGCGCCTTTATTGCTAAGTTGGTCTTCTAGGATCATGTCTCACACAAGGTTCCCCATTCTGCTAAAGTAAGTCAAATAATTGGAGATAACCAGCGGGTTTGGTCAAGGATCAATGCACGACATAATGGAGAAATTATGGAAATCATTGCCTCAATGCCTAATTATCTTCCAAAAGTGGATAGGAAGGACAAGGTCAAATGGATTCTCAATAGTAATCACATCTACACTGCAGAATCAGCACTGGAAAAACTGAAGAATAAATAACCAGAAGTCGATTGGCATAACATTGTCTGGTTTAGTCACAATATTCCCTTGACAAGCTTTATTTTATGGTTAGCAATCAAGGAGAGGTTGGCAATAAAGGACAGAATTTAGAGTTATTCTCCTAATCTGGTACAACTTGTATATTATGTAAGGAGAGACTCGAATCTCACCTTCACCTATATTTTAAATGCTCTTTCTCTGGAAGCAAGAGCTATATGCAATTCTAAGGCTTCCATGGCAACAATTGATACAACATTATGCAAATGACTAGAAAGGAAAAGCTCTAATCAACTTAATCAAAAAACTGTGCTTGGCAACTACATTTTAGGTTATCTAGAGGGAAAGGAACCAAATAATATTCAACAATAAATTCAGGGATCCTGTACATATCGAGCAGAACATCCTCACCACTGTAAGGTACAGACTTGTTTCACTGAAATTTGAGAACTTTACCAGTAATAGGGAACTAGCCCTTGATTGGAGGCAACCTAGCTCTTGTTTTGGTACATAAGGATGAAGTAGTTCTTTTTCAACTATGTAATTTAATCNAATCCTACTTTTCATCTCTCTTATTTTTTATTTTTCTACCAAACGAAGCATAAAAGAGGTTCTTATGGTCAGGTCCGGAACTCAAAGCTGGGGGAGCTAAAGTTGCTTGGGATCAAGTTTGCCTCCTTAAGACATCTATGGCATTTGGTAACTATGTTTTGATAACTGGCATACTGCAGCGCCTTTATTGCTAAGTTGGTCTTCTAGGATCATGTCTCACACAAGGTTCCCCATTCTGCTAAAGTAAGTCAAATAATTGGAGATAACCAGCGGGTTTGGTCAAGGATCAATGCACGACATAATGGAGAAATTATGGAAATCATTGCCTCAATGCCTAATTATCTTCCAAAAGTGGATAGGAAGGACAAGGTCAAATGGATTCTCAATAGTAATCACATCTACACTGCAGAATCAGCACTGGAAAAACTGAAGAATAAATAACCAGAAGTCGATTGGCATAACATTGTCTGGTTTAGTCACAATATTCCCTTGACAAGCTTTATTTTATGGTTAGCAATCAAGGAGAGGTTGGCAATAAAGGACAGAATTTAGAGTTATTCTCCTAATCTGGTACAACTTGTATATTATGTAAGGAGAGACTCGAATCTCACCTTCACCTATATTTTAAATGCTCTTTCTCTGGAAGCAAGAGCTATATGCAATTCTAAGGCTTCCATGGCAACAATTGATACAACATTATGCAAATGACTAGAAAGGAAAAGCTCTAATCAACTTAATCAAAAAACTGTGCTTGGCAACTACATTTTAGGTTATCTAGAGGGAAAGGAACCAAATAATATTCAACAATAAATTCAGGGATCCTGTACATATCGAGCAGAACATCCTCACCACTGTAAGGTACAGACTTGTTTCACTGAAATTTGAGAACTTTACCAGTAATAGGGAACTAGCCCTTGATTGGAGGCAACCTAGCTCTTGTTTTGGTACATAAGGATGAAGTAGTTCTTTTTCAACTATGTAATTTAATCTGTGAGTGTTACTGTCACTTAAACAGCACCCTTTTCAGATTTAACTTTCTCTTTTCATAATCTCATGTTGAGATATGTAGACTGCTGTAGCTTGATTGTAACACTGCAGCTTGTGCTTTACTATAAAATTCATTCATTTACCCAAAAAATCATTTTTAACTGTAATCAAAGTTACCGCAAGAATTCCAATTCTCCACCCGCAACTAACTAAGGGTGTGTCAATCGTGTCATGTCGTTTGGTGTAACTCGTGTATCATGTATTTTTGTGTTATATCATTATTATTCGTGTTGTGTTCCTGTCAAAATCTACGAAAAAAAATTTATTTAGTGTGTTTTGAGTATTAAATATTCGTTTAAACTATTTATTATGCGTATTTAATAATCATGTTAATTTTATAATCGTGTGTGTCGAAGTTTGTATTGAGTTTGTATTAACGGATCAGATTTGACACCCTTACAACTAGGGGTAACAATTTTGGATATAACACAAAAACATGATTCGAAATCGATACGAAACTAGTGGGTTAGACACGAAATCATTTTTCGATACGAACCTGTATATGATAAGATCCGTTATCACGAATAATAAATGAGTTGAGTTAGTGTCAAACATGAACCCAAAATTGACACGATTAACACTTCTAAATAGTATTATAATAATAAAATGCTAATTTTTTATTATTTTTTATCAAGTAGTGATCTAATTCTTTTTAAAAAAATATTTTTACTATTATATTCATTAAATTAGTTTTTTGTTTATAGAAAAAGTATAAGAATAAATTCGATTAAGTGATAATGAAAATTTAAACGTAAAATTGAGTGTTAAATTTTTTATTCACGATTTATATAAATCAACATGAATATAACACGAAAATAAAAAGATCGACGTGACATATTATAATTAGTCAAAAAAATTATATTAAAGATGATTAGAACTTAATACAAATTCGAGATGACTTGATACGAATATGACACCTGATGATTGCAAACCTTATCCCCATCTAACACGACACAAGTAGTCAAAATGTGGGTCCGAAATATGGTCGGGGCAGTCATCGGAAGAGAAGAATCTGGTATTTTTTGGGTAAATTATACTTTACTCTTTTAAATTGTTATCCTTATTTCACTTTGTACTCTTAATTATAAATTTTTTTACATTTTATCCTAAAATATTAATTTTATTTCATATCACTCTAATTGACAACAAATGTCAATTTTTTGATGATAAATACGCATGTGAATAGTCTGTACTGCAAATAAATACTATTTATTACATGTGTAGGTCAAAAATCAATAAAAATACCTATCAATGACTTTGTCTTTTCTAAGCTCCAAATTTTCTTCCTTTGTCTGACCTTCTTTTTCTTCCCAGCAACCATTTGATTACAAAAGAGGTAAAATAAAGTGGTACTAGACATTTGATGAAAAAGTCTTTGGGGTTTTTCTCCCTCATTTGAAAGATTTTCAAGTTTATAGTTACCTATTAGAGTGATAAGAAATAAAATTGATACTTTAAGGTACAACATGAAAAATTTTATAATTAAGGGTACAAAGTGAAATAAGGGTAATAGTTTAAGGGGTAAAATATAATTTACTCTATTTTTTTTTTCTTTTTGAAATATTACGATGTTATATTTGTCACTTTGACTCAAAATTTTAGGTGCAGTGTGTTGCGGTTTCCATTAAATTTTTGTAAAAGAATTTTATACCATTAGATAAAATTAAATAAAAATTTAATTAATTTCAATCATTATTATGTTTTTATAAATGTACGAATCAAATCGCTAGCGGTAATAATATTTGTATTTCCTCTTTTTTGGATTGGGCGGAATTTCTCTCAATTTGTGGTGGTTTTTCTTTTCAACCTCAAATTCAAAGCTTACCAAATTCTGAAGATTTGGGTTAGTCTCAAATCCAACCTTAAAATATCCCCCGAGCTTATCATATTGAAGCAAGAATGGCTACTTGGGGAATTTTCCTTCAGTTTCTTAGTGTTCTCTCTTTTCTATTGTTTGCTCAATTTGTGTCCCTTGAAGCCAATGAACTGAAGCATGATGCTGGCAATTTGAACCTGAGGTGCATTGAAGTTGAAAGGAAAGCACTCATTAAATTCAGAGAAGGCCTTACAGATCCTTCAGGTCAGCTAGCTGCTTGGGTTGGCAAAGATTGTTGTAAATGGCAGGGTGTTCACTGCAGCAATATAACTGGCAATGTTGTAAGCCTTAGCATCAGAAACCGAGGGGACTGTTATACGAAAAAAGATCGTTATGGTGCGGATTATAACGGTGCATCATGTTTGGGTGGTGAGATAAGTCCTTCTTTGCTCGATTTGAAACATTTGAAATACTTGGACCTAAGCGTGAATGATTTCCACGGAATTCCGATCCCAGATTTCTTGGGATCGTTTGAGAAAATTCGCTACCTCAATCTGTCTTACTCTTGTTTTTCTGGGATTGTTCCTCCTCAACTTGGAAATCTCTCCAGTTTGCGTTATCTTGATCTCTTTGCATCATCAAACCCCAATAGTATTATACTAACCGGCTTAGTTTCAGACTTGAGCTGGATATCTGAACTCACTTCTTTGGAATACCTTGACCTGGGATACGTCGACCTTAGCTCTGCAAAATCTGGGTGGCTGCAAGCTCTAAACACGCTTCCTTCTCTCTGGGAGTTGTCCGTGCCCTACTGTGGACTACAAAACCTACCCTATTCTTTACCAAGTTTGAATTTCACTTCCCTTTTGGTCCTCGATCTGTCGTATAACTCTTTTAATGCTTCAGTGCTCCCTCAATGGTTGTTTAACATTAGTTCCCTTGTAGACCTTACATATAGTAATTTGAAATTCTCCCTTTCTCAAGTTGGATGGGAACATTTCTGTAACTTTTCGTCTTTAGATCTTACGGAAAATCAGATCAGGGGGGATATAAGTGTTGTAATAGGAGATTTGTCTCGATGTAGTGACTGTCTCTTGGAGAAGTTAGATTTGAGGCATAATCAATTGAGTGGAGAGATACCCGAGTCATTAGGCAACCTAAAGAACCTAAAATTCCTGGGGTTGGATGAAAACTTCATCACAGGCACAATTCCAGAATCTATTGGAGGGTTGTCTAAGTTGGATGTATTAAATCTTGGTTTGAACCAATTGAGTGGAACTATCCCGGAAAGTGTAGGAAAACTGGCAGAGCTAACAAGATTGGAACTATATCAAAATTCTTGGGAAGGCGTGCTATCCCAAAATCATTTGCAAGGCCTCAAGAACCTGGTTTATTTCTCCATATCATCTTCAAACAGAAATTTTGTAGTCAATGTGAGCGATGATTGGCTTCCTCCTTTTAGCCTAAGATTCATTGATATTAGCAGTTGTACCTTGGGTCCGAAATTTCCAACATGGCTTAGAAATCAGAAGCAACTTTCTTCTGTAATCCTCACAGATGTTGCCATTTCGGACACAATACCTGATTGGCTCTGGGAATTATGCCCGCAGATTCAAAAGTTGGATCTTTCGGGTAATCAAATTAGTGGTGTTCTTCCCAATTCATTGGAATTTTCATCAGAAACAAGAGTGGTTGTGGACTTCCGTTCCAACCGCTTAGAGGGTCAGCTCCCCCTTTGGTCCAATCTGACAAATCTCATTTTGGCAGACAATTTATTTTCTGGATCGATCCCCAGGAACATTGGCCAAGTATTGTCAGAGATACAAGTTTTAGATCTTTCTGGAAACTTTTTGAATGGCGGCATCCCCACTTCTATTGGTGGAATGAAGTACTTAAAAAGACTGGATCTTTCAAACAATCTCCTGTCTGGAGAAATCCATGGAAAATGGGGCGAATTGCAAGAACTTCTAATCATAGATTTATCAAGGAATAATCTATCGGGGAATATTCCCAGTTCAATCTGTTCACCGCCTCTGCTTTTTTGGTTAAAATTAAGCAGAAACAATCTTTCCAGGGAACTGGAATCATTACAGAACTGCACAAGCTTGACAACTCTTGATCTTGGAGAAAATAAATTTTCAGGGATCATACCAAGATGGATTGGAGAGAGCCTGTTATCCCTAACTGTGCTACGAATCCGGGACAACATGTTTTATGGAGGTATTCCAGATAAACTATGTCATCTTTCTAGTCTCCACATCTTGGACCTTGCACTTAACAAATTGTCGGGATCCATCCCATCATGCTTGGGCAATTTGAGTGGTTTGAGTTCTTTGACCTCTTACAATCCAACCTCACACTTCCGCTACCAGATCTACAGATTTATACCACAGATGGAGGTGACTGTGAAGGGGAAGCCAACTATTTATAACCTCACACTAAATCTCGTACATATTATTGATCTTTCGAGCAACAAATTGCGAGGAGATATCCCTGAGGAGATAACACATCTCTCAACCTTGGGCACCTTAAATTTATCTCGGAATCGGTTAACAGGAGAAATACCAGAAAAAATTGATGGCCTAAAAAAATTGGAGACTCTTGACCTGTCCTTCAATCATCTTTCAGGTCCAATTCCTCCGACCATGTCCTCTATGACCTTATTGAGCTATTTGAACTTGTCCTATAACAACTTGTCTGGGCAAATTCCATCAACCACCCAATTCCAAACCTTCGATGATCCATTCATTTATGAGGGTAACGCTGAGCTTTGTGGGAGTCCATTGCCAACCCCATGCTTTACTCATAAAGATAGGAATGCTGACCGGGATGCCAAAGATAGCAACGACGAAGATGAGAATGAAATGCTATGGTTCTATCTTGGCATGGGACTGGGATTCGTGGTGGGATTTTGGGCGGTAATTGGTAGTTTGGAGATAAAGAAATCTTGGAGACAAGCCTACTTTGGATTCCTGTATAGAGTGAGAGATTGGCTCTTCGTTTTCATTGCACTGAACGCGGCTCGTTTAAAAAGAAAGATGAAGAGGGGAAGAAATTGATTTTGTGCATGCTTAGATAAAGGTATATACTTTTCCTTTCACATTACTCCAAATTTGATTTTCTTTCCATCCAATAACCTTATGTTGTGCAGTGACTCAGTGAATCTTCTTGGTTTGCGAGGGATTTTAGGGGGTTCCAACATCCGGAGAAAAAAAAAATGAAGTTACAGGAACAAGGAGGAGGATGACTTCATGCTTGTTTGGTAATTTCAAGATCAAAATTTTCAATTTCTTGCTCTATTATGTTTCATGTTTCTACAATGTTCCTATAACTGTTCCTGTGCTTTTGTCTTCACCGCTAGTTGTTAGCTGGGAAGAACCGATATTTCGTATGCAGAAGAAAGATGAAACTTACTTTTTATTGTAAGAGCGTAATAGAAGATTTTGTAATTTTTAAAAGGTTTCTCTTATGTATTAGTATGACATAAAATCGGGAATACCCTATCGAAAGTTATTAAGAATTTTCTTTGTTTTAAATTATCTCTGAACTTTAATTATTTCAATTTATCTCCTAAATTATGTAATTTGTTTTAATTGATCCTTCCCTTAAGATTAATCAATAAATAAGGCATATTTTGTTAAGACTAATCATTAAATGAAACAAATTCTGTTAAAATTAATTGTTAGTTTATATCATTTAACAATTAGTCTTCGACTCTCTCTCTCTAACACTTCCATCAAGTACGTAAAATTACCGAAGAAAACACACACACTCAAATCTCAATGTATGTATCCATGAATTTTGATTGACAATGCTTACCTGTTTATTATCATTTTGCCCAATTTTGAAGGATTTTCCAGGTTTTTTTATCAATTAATAAATAGGGTATTGATTATATGGTATTGAATATATTTGTTGTGTGCGTAGAGAAATGTTATACTTACCAAATGTTATGTTCTTCTCAAATTTTTATTCCAATTGATTTAACCATCAAATAAATGATTTTAATTTATATTTAATAATTGATCCTCGAGAAGGGTAAAGGACGGCTAAAGGGTTCTGATACCTCTTTTGCCGTTAGGAGTGTTCACCCTATCCTACGAGTAAGAATTTTAGTATTTTATCTATTTACCCGATATTTTGCGTAAATTTTTTTTTTACCTATCCTACCCAATCAAATGTATTATTTCTACACGAATTCTGTCCAAAACAATTGGGTAGGAAGTCGGGTGAATACATATTTTTTAGTTTTTAATTTTTAGATCATTTAACAATTTAATTAAGTAACTTGCACCAATTAACTAACACAATAAATTAATACCTAAATAATTATAATAAAACACAATAAGAAAACCATAAACATCAATACATCATATGTAAGAAAATCATAAAAATCAATAAAACATTAGAATTTCTAAATTTTTGGATTAACCCGTGGATTCAAAAAATTAATTTCTCGGTATCGTATTAGACAAATTATAAGTTGAAATATTACTATAGAATAAATGTGAGGTTATAACTTAATCTGGTGAGATTACAATAAAGTAAGATTATTTGAATACAAAGTGCCATCGTGGGTGAAAGAGACATTGGAAGCTGAATGACAATGGGGCTCGTTTGGTGCATTGAGTTCATGGAACAATTCTCTTCATCATTGTGAGTGGCATGGTGTAACATGCGGTCTAAAGCATCAAAGAGTTGTAGCTTTGGATTTGAGTTCTCAAAAATTGACTGGGTCCTTAACACCTTCCACAGATCCATCTACCTTCAACAAAACCATTTCCAAGATAACATCCCCCAAGAGATCAGCCTTTTGTTTCGACTCAAGTATATAAATCTCTCCAACAACGCGTTTCAAGGGGAAATTCAGACAATCTGTCGCACTGTACAAACCTCAATTCCATTAACTTTAATTTCATTGACCTTGTGGGAAAAATACCAGTGATGTTTGGTCTCTTTCCAACCACTATTAGTACTATTAGACCCACAATTAGGGGTGTTATTTTAGACAAGTTATTCGGGCTCGGCTCGAACTCAACTGTGTTTTAAATGAATTGACTTTGAATAATTTTTTAAATAAACTAAGCTTAAATAATTTTTTAAACTCGTTTAAAAAAGCGAGCCCGAGAGATCCGGCCTCAAGTTCACAAAACTCGACTTGATTAATACCCCGACCCTCAATCTCATAACAACCGTGGATTAAATCAATAAATTGAGTTGTTTTTTGTTATTCAGTCAACCAATTTCCTTTGTATCTTACTTCCAAATAACATTATTGAAAAACCAAATCCCAGCATTACCCCTCCCTTGATATGGGATGCCACCATTATGCTAGAGTGGCTTTAGCCTGCTATATCACATTGAGAACCTTCCAAAGTTACCTATGTGTCTGAAATAGCACAAGCCTACAGGATTTTTAGTACCATACTACAAAATGCACCTTTTATGATCAAGTTATCATTTTTGGAGTGCTTGAGATCGATTCCAAACATCCCAAATAAATTATGACTCGATCTTATAAATGAAGTATACCTTCATCCAAAAAGTTCTAATTTTTTAGAATAAATTTTAAAATATTACAATCAATTATAACTTTTTTGTTGTAATATGAATAAAAAAAATGTAACTTTCTTGAAAAAAAAAAAAAGGTTAAAGTATACTTTGACCCTCTAAACTATGGATTCGATTTCACTTTGTCCTTTGAACTATTGAAATTTTTACATTTTCCTCTAAACTACTTGAATTATTTCATATTGTCTAAATTGCAAACGTCAGCTAGTTTTTTGAACTAAATTTGTTGGTGTGTTGGGGCAACGAGAAAAAAAATTACATAGTTTGAAGGATAAAATGAAATAATTTTTTATTAAGTATGCAACATTAATAATTGAGGTAATGCGAAACTAATCATGTATTAGTGAAAAAAGGGTCATAGTTGAAAAAATCAAAGTATAATTCGTCCCACAAAAATAATTATAATTTTCGATACAAAACATTAATTAGTAGTCTACTTTTACCCGTCTGAAATTGCTGACTCTCTCTAAGGATATCCAATTCGTTAGACTCTCTCAAATGATGTCAAGTTGTCTAACAACTCTATCTCACATGGGAACTATCTTTATTATATCTGACGATGAACAAAATAATTTTGTACATTATTTGTCAAGTGTGAATAATAAATGTAAGAAAATAATATCAGGAGATGGAGAGACACAGACAATTTATAATAATTCGATCAGTTCGACCTACGTCTACTCTTTAATGACTCTAGTTGTCGGGTATTTTATTAACTCAAGGGTGTGGGGAACAGAGAGTACAAACTTTGAGGGAGAGGAGAGAGTAGTGCTCAGGTGATGTGTGATACCCCCCAAGTATTGGTGGGGTATGCAATTTCTAGTAGCTCCCTAACAGGTTGGGGCTACTTTTCAGCAACTAAAAAACCATTTCGGTGGAGCTCACGACTTCTTCTCAATGGGTGAGATGGTTGAGGAGCTCCTCATGAGATGCGGTCAAATATAAGGTGAGGTTGGACCGTTTCCTTCTTCGGTGCAGGTAAGACCCCCATGCTCTCCCTCTTGATGACGTGACTAAGTAGAGTATCTGACTGCTGGACTATGTTGGGCTTGGTGGATCTTTAATGAGGTTGGGCTCCTCAATTAGGATTTGGACTTTCCACATAGATTGAGCTATTTGGACTTGACCCATCATTTGCCCCTCAATGCCTCGTGTTCAAGGAAACTTAGAGAATGGTGCATTAGTTTGCTCCTTGAGTTATAAGTGATTGAGACTTCTTCTGCTAGATGATTCTTTCTCTCTACAATACATTTTTGCTTTGCATGCTTCAAGCTTTTTTCACTTTTGCTAAGATTTTTAGAAGAGCCCATAACTTTCAATTTGGGCTTTTTCCTCTTTAAAAATCCTAGGCTATAAATGTGACCTTCTTCTTTATTCTACCCATTTCATTTACTTTGAGATTGAGCACCCATCTCTTAAAAACCTTGAGAGCCTATTCTTGTGAGCTAAGTTTTTTTCATTCCTTTGAGACTTGAGAGAAGGTAGGCAAGACTTGAAAATTTTCAAGATCATTTTGTTGGTATTCTTGGGTGGAGTTTTTGAAGTGGGTATTGGAGATTTGAAGAAGGTGAGATAAAAAAGTTTCATTGGTGCCATGAGGAATGGTGAAATTGGGGCTGAAAAAAGTCGTCTTAGAGCTCTTGGAGTTGCAAGAGTCGAAGGAAGAGGAGGGGGAAAAACTCTGCTGGCCGCCGCTGTCGCGTGCGCGCCCCAGCAGCCTACGTAAGTGCTGTTTTGGTGTTTTTGGCAAGGCTTCCAGCCTGTGTAGGCACGCAGAAAGAAAGATGGACTCCATAGGCGAGATGGGCAGCAAAATGGAGGCTGTCCTGGGCAGTTTTGGCATGCTGGGCAGCTACTTGGGCACTGGTTCTGCTGTCCTGGATTGCTCAGGCACGCTGGCAGCAGCCTAGGTGCTGGCACTGCTGTCCTGGACAGCTCAGGCGCGCTGGGCAGCAGTTTGGACACTGTTTCTGCTGTCCTGGAAAGCTCAGACATATTGGGCAGTGCAGATTCTGCTATCCTGGACAACTCACGAGCGTTGGGTAGTAGCATTTTTTCAACAGAAAGTGCAGGAAATCGATCCAGGGAGCAGCGGGGAGAGTTGGGCAGCAGCCTGGGTGCAGGGGCAAATCTGGGTGCCACTCCAAGCGCTGATTTAGGTGTCAAAAGTGCTGTTTTGCGCAATTTTGAAGGGTCAGACATCTCTCTAGCTACTGGGCTACTCTGTTTTGGTGAGCAAAGGCGATCAGGCACCCCCCTAAGTGTTAGGTTGCCTTATTTGGACGAGCAAAGACGGTCATGCATCCCTCCTAGTGTTGGGTTGTCTCGTTTGGATGAGCAAAGGCGGTCAGGCACCCCTCTTATTGTTGGGCTAGACACTACAGGTGGCAAGGAAGCTTTGAGTGTTGCTTTCGATGATTAGGACTTGACTGTGACTCCTCTAACCCAAACTCCTCAAGACTTCCCAAATGGTGGCTTAGACTACTCCCTTCGGCCTCGAAAAAAGAAGCGCAAAAGCAAAGTGGGACTCGATGATGATGGATCTAAGGTAAGTATCATTTTCAGTCTGTTTCGTTCAGATGAAGATATCTCGAGGCTTGTCTTTACTTATCACATTCCTCCGACCATGTTGTGCCGTCGGGCTGAGTTGGGCGAGCTTGCTTGCGATGACTCTTCTGGTGATATTGTTGTTTACGAAGAGATACTTGAGGCTGGGTTAAGATTTTCCATGTCCTCTCCCATTTGTCATATTTTGTATTATTTTTCCTTGACTCCGGGGCGATTAGCGCCGAATGGTTGGAGAGTTCTACTGAGCTTTCTTGCTTTATGGAAGAAAGTACACCATGAGGATGCTTCTCCTGTGGAGTTTCATACAGCATACAACTTAAGCGAAACTCTTGCACCAAAAAAGGGGTGATACTATTTTACCACAAGAAGTGGTACAATGCTCATGAGAATGCACTCCAATTATTGCGGTTAAAAATCTTGTTTCTTCTTTGTTGGTGGAGAGTGGGTTGCAGAAGCCGACAGGGCTTTGGTGCCAATACGATGGGGTGCTGCCAGAAAACTCGGTATGCTACACACTTGCTTTTTTTTTTTTTTTTGTGTGCTCACCATTTCCTTTCAGACACGCCTGTGCTTTCTCAAGATCAGGAGTGGAAGTTGGAGGCCGTCAAGGCTTGCTCTTACAAAGATTTGAGAGCTCTTTTGTCCAAGGATACCAGGGTCATTGCTCCATCTCAGAAATCTGGTGGTTCCTCTTTAAAGAAAAATGGTGAGTTAGTTTTCTCCTTTAATTTTCCCCTTCCCCTTGGTATTTTTCACCTCCCTGACACTTTATTATTTTCGCAGCAAGTAAAAGGGTGGTAGTGTCTCACTATTCTAGCAGGAGCCCTTCTTTTTCCAAGGTGACGAGGATGAGTGATGCCCCCTAAGTAACTCCTACGGCGGTACCTCCTCAGCCAGTGACTTCTTCAGTTGCTACTCCAAAGTCTTCCTTGCCGGGCACACCCTCTGCTCCTCCTTTGTCCCCTCCTCATGCGGGAAACTCCGCTAGAGGACCGACTTGGCTTGGTCCCATGATGGGCAGACCGCCAGTCATCAGAGAAAGGCTTGAGAGGTTTGTGTTTGCACCCAAAATTTGTTAGCTTAGTACTTCTGGCACTGAGAGGATTGTCAACACATATTTGGAAGGCCTAGCTCAAGTAAGGGTCTGCTATTTTCCTTTCTCCACTTCCTTCTTACGTCTTTCGTCACCTTTCCACCTTTCATCTTCTTCAGGTTTCGACTTCATTTGTCTGCTTGATTTCAAAAGCCTATAATCACGATAAGCTGAAGCTGAGTTTCGACGTCGTGCAAAGGGAGCTTCTTATTGCTCAAGGGAGGATTGTTGAGTTCGAGGCAACTGGTAGTGCTTCTCGGGATGAGCTCGTAGCAGCTCACGAAAGGGCATCCAAGTGTGACTTTGAGCTTTTGGCGACTCGTGACCCTTCAGTTATGGGATATGTGGATGCAGACTATGCAGGGGACTTGGATGACAGGAGGTCTACCACAGGTTATGTGTTTACTCTTGTGGGAGGACCTATTTGTTGGAAGTCCATGGTACAGCCTATAATTGCACTATCTACTACTGAGTCAGAGTATATGGCAGTAGCTGAGGCTGCCAAAGAGGCTTTGTGGCTTTCAGGTTTAGTCAAGGAGTTGGGTGCCCAGAAAGGTGAAGTTCAATTGCATTGTGACAGTCAGAGTGTCATTTATTTGGCAAAGAACCAGGTGTATCATGCGAGGACCAAACATATAGATGTGAGGTTTCATAAGATCAGGGAACTGGTTTCTTCTGGTGAACTATTACTTGAGAAAGTTCACACTTCTGAGAATGCTGCAGACATGTTGACAAAGCCTGTTACTACAGACAAGTTCAAGCACTGCTTGGACTTGATTAATGTCTCTAGTTGCTAGATGGGAGATGCCTCAACTCATTGTCCCCGGTAGAGTTCCCGAATACATGTCCTCTTTTTTTTTCTTCTAAGGGGTGAATATTTGCCAAGGTGGAGATTGTTAGAGTATGTGTGGCTCATATTTACTGTGTGCATAATGACAAAGAGGTAGATGCCGGAGCGGAGCCTGCGACGGCATCTGCCTTGCGGGATTTATATATAGGGGACGCTGATTAGTTGGGGGTGCGGCGGCAACGCTCCCGCGGTACGGTATAGGGGTATTTTTATAAATACGTCCATATTAGGGTTATATAAATACTTAAGATATAACCCTATTCTATAATGGAAAAGAACGGCCGCTCGCTCTCGTGGATGTAGGCACATTGCCGAACCACGTAAATCTCTGTGTGTTATTTTCTCCTGCTTTCTTAATTGTTTGATTTTTTACTATTCACCATAATTGCTGCACGATCACAACAATATGTTCTCTACCCTCAAACCAAACCGGCTTAGAATATCTGTAGGATCAAATGGATTCACTGGACCCTTTCCAACTTCTTTTTCTAATTCATCTAGGATGGAAATTCTTGATGTTAACACAAACACCATTTCTGGTCCAGTCCCCTTAGATCTAGGTCAAAGAATGACAAATCTTAGGTGGATTAATCTCGGTTACAATAGTTTAGGCACTGGGGGTGCTGGTGACTTGAGGTTTATAGATTCCTTAACTAATTGTACCGAGCTACAAAACCTTGCCATATATGCAAACGGTTTTGGTGGTGTTCTACCCGATGCCATCGTCAATCTTTCAACCCAGCTCAACCAGTTTTTAGCTGGGGGGAATCAGTTTGTTGGCAGCATCCCCTCCAGCATTACTAATTTTGTTAACCTAGCGACCCTTGGTTTAGAATCCAATTATTTCTCGGGAACCATTCTTTTTGACATTGGAAAGCTCAAAGACTTGCAAATACTAAGTTTAGGTACAAATGAACTGTCTGGTGCCATCCCATCATCGATTGGAAATCTTACTCGATTATTCGAACTGAGTCTAGAAGAGAATAACTTCACAGGAAGCATTCATTGGAGTATTGATAACATCACCGGTTTGCAAAGTGTGAATCTTTCTTATAATAGCTTTGTCGGCTCTATACCCAAAGCAATTGGTGGCTTATCCTCTTTAAGTTCCCTTAACTTAGCTCATAACTCATTTATTGACGCACTACCAGAGGAAATTGGTAAATTGCAAAATCTAGAGGTTCTAGATCTTTCAGAGAATAAGTGGTCCGGAGGAATGCCTAATAACCTTGGTCATTGTTTGAGATTGGAACAGCTTTATCTGGAAGATAATACGTTTCAGGGACAAATTCCATCCTCTTTTAGTTCCCTAAAAGGAATTGTAGATTTGGACCTCTCTCGTAATAACTTGTCTGGCCAAATTCCTGTAGATCTGGAGAAACTAATGCTTTTGAAGAATCTCAATTTGTCATTCAATAACTTACAAGGTGAGGTTCCATCAGAAGGCGTGTTCAAAAACATAAGCATAGTTTCACTTCAAGGAAATTTGGAGCTTTGTGGAGGGATTCCAGAGCTGCGGTTGTCTGCTTGCCCACTTCAGAAAACTGCCAATGAGAGACATAATCTTGCTTTTAGATTTGAAATCATAGCTCCTGTTGTAGTGGTATCTATAACATTGGCGGCTCTTTTGGTTTTTCTTTACAGGAAAAGAAAATCCGAAAAGACCTTCAATTCCCAGTCATCAGTCGAAGAAGAGTTTCTGAGGGTTTCTTACAATGATCTCCTTAAAGCTACTGATGGATTTTCTTTGACCAACTTGATCGGTAATGGAAGCTTTGGCACTGTCTATAAAGGAATTCTCCACCAGGATGAGAAACTTGTGGCAGTGAAGGGGCTTAATCTTGAGCAACTAGGGGCTTCCAAGAGCTTCATTGCTGAATGTGAAGCCCTAAGGAACACTAGACACCGAAAAAATCTTCTCAAGCTAATAACTGCATGTTCGAGTGTAGACCACGAAGGTAATGACTTTAAAGCTCTAGTCTTTGAGTTCATGCCTAATCGCAGTCTTGAGGATTGGTTGCATCCACGTGGAGACGCATCGTCACAATCAAGGAATTTGAGCCTCGCACAAAGGTTAAGCATAGCAATCGATGTTGCCTCTGCATTGTATTATCTACACAATAGTTGCGAAAGACCAATTATTCATAGTGATCTAAAGCCAAGTAATGTTCTTCTTAACGAAGACATGACTGCTAATGTGGGAGATTTTAGATTGGTCAAGTTCCTTGCAATAAGTGGCACTCAGATTAACAGAGGACATACTGAGTCAACTGTAATAAAGGGTTCTATAGGATATATAGCTCCAGGTAAGGAAGCACTCGTTTTCTGTCTTGTTTATTCCTCCTCAGAGTTTTTATAGCATTTTAATTTTCCTTCTCTTCCTTCACCACGGGAAATGAAGTACAAATGGTGTGCTAAAGTTTTTTTAACAATGAACTTCTTTTTTTTGTTTGATATTACTTGCAGAGTATGCCCTAGGAAGAAAGAGATCCAAGGCAGGGGATGTTTACAGTTATGGGATACTCTTATTAGAGATGCTAACAGGAAAGGGGCCTACAGATGATATGTTTGTAAACGGTCTTTCCCTTTATGAGTTCTCTAAAAGGGCACTGCCTGAGCAGGTGATGGAGATCGTGGATCCACGTCTGTTGTTAGAAGAATCTAATGTAGCAGTAAACAATACTGAGAATCAAGAAGTTAGAGAAGCTAAACAGAGGGAATGTTTGATTTCCCTAGTAAGGATTGGGGTTGCATGCTCTGCAGAATCACCTGGTGAACGAATGGACATCAAAGATGCACTTAAATAATTGAATGTTGGCAAGGAAGTATTGCTTGGTGCTGAGATTCAAAGGAGGAGGCATATTAGAATGCAACAAACTGGTGAAGGAACATCTCGGCCTAGGCAATAGGTGGTAACATTAAGAAATAAAGGATAGCTCAGTGCATGATTTTTTAGCTTTAATGGAGCCAAGCTATGGTCCATGGGGACCATGATGCTTTGGATATTGTGGTAGCCTTCTCTTAAGTTTTCAATGGGATGCTTTTGAGTTCACTAGTTTACATGGCCATCTCATGTATTTAAAATCATACTTTACATATATTATAGGAAATATTGCACCATTAATCATCCAAAATATTCTTGTGGATTATTTTTTCCAAAATTAACAACTTGTTCAACGCCAAAATTAACGATTCATTAGAAAATGACTAATTTCAATGTTAATAGTGCAATGAGTTTAAATCAATAGTCAAGGGGATAAAGTAGATTCAAGTTCATAAGTCAAGGTGTCAAAATATAATTTACCCAAACCCTACACATATTGGGTCCGAATTGTGTATTTGAGAAATTTGTACATTCTCTATATCGTATTGCTCAGCTTTTTGTAGTTGGCCGAGGCACTCTCAAATTTAGTCTTCTTCGAGTGGTTATAAGATATAATAGTGCGTAAATTGTTGGTTATGATAAATGGATTTGCAATTGGTTCACATCTATTTTTGACAAGTTTGAATTGGGGTTTTTTTTTATTTTTTATTTTCGTTTATTGTACCAAGAATATATAATATCATAGCGCGTCATGTAAAAGTTAATATTAATTAATAGTTTCTATACAATTAAAAATTTGAAATTGACAATAGCTCATGGAATGATCCTCTATTGAATTTTGCCCCCATCAAGAATAAATCATAGCTCCATCCATTGCTTAGATGTACGCAACGTTATAGTTTTCATGCTAAGGTTTCACGTAAGTGTATGATAACATTACATACCCAACTTCTCTCACCCAATAAAACTGAGGATTAGATTGAAGCAAAATCATTTGTTTTTTGCTTAATTATGGTATGCTCTAATAGAATTCTATCTTTAAATTTTGATATTCAAGATTTCACAGACAAAAGCAGAAGGCTTGAATTGAAAACAGGCTCGACTTTTCCAGATATCTTCCTGTTCGTGATAGGTACAAATGATGAAGTCGAAGGAGATGCATTTGAATAAATATTTTTTTTTGGTTTAAAATAAATATTTTATCTGCCTTTTGCTTTAGTACTTGAAAATATTGAAAACTTATACTATTCAGAACTAATTAATTGACGAATTTTGTTGACTCCAACCACTAGTAGTGTTGAACTCTCAATCTCATAGCAACCATGGATTAAATCAATAAATTGAGATTTTTTCTTTTTTCTCAGTCAACCAATTTTTTTAGTAATTTACATCCAATAAACATTATTGAAAAACTAAATCCCCAACATTACCCCCTCCCTTAATATGGGATGCCACCATTATGCTAGAGTCGCTTTAGCCTCTCATATCACATTTAAAACCTTCCAACATTTTAAAAATTGTGTCTGAAATAGCATTGGTCTACGGCATTTTTTGTACCATACTACAAAATGCACCTTTCTATGATCAAGTCATAATTTTTGGAGTGTTTGAAATCGATTCCAAACATCCCAAATAAATTATGAGTAATCGATCTTATTTTTTTTTTTAGGTTTTTAATATAACCGATCTTATAAATAATGTATTTTCATCCCAAAAGTTCTAATTTTTTTAAGATTAATCTTAAAATATTAAGATCGATCAAAACTTTTTTGTTGTAATATGACTCTAAAAAAAATGTATCTTAGAAAAACTGAAAAAGGATAAATTACACTTTGACTTTGTAAACTATGGATTCGATTTCATTTTGTCCCTTAAACTATTGAAATTTTTACGTATCCCTATAAACTATTCGAATTATTTCACATTGCCCCATTTGCAAACGTTAGCTATCTTTTTAGATGAAAATTGTTGGCGTGTCGGGGCAAAAAAAGAAAAACAATTACATAGTTTGAGGTGCAAAATGAAATAATTTTTATTAAGTATGTAACATTAATAATTGAGACAATGCGAAATTAATCACGTAGTAGCGAAAAAAGGGAAATAGTTGAGAAAATCAATGTATAATTTATCCCGCAAAAATTATAATTTTCGATACAACACCTCAACCAGTAGTCTAATTTTATCCGTCTGAAATTGTTGACTCTCTCAAATGATTTCAAGTTGTCTAACAACTATATCTCACATGGGAACTATCTTTATTAAATTAAATCCCGAGATAAGAATTAGCTATTTTAACACTAGGTGGACACCAATGGTTGCCTGTCTGAAGGTGACCTGTCTTAATTAGCAGAAAAATGTCGAAATCCAAGCATTCTTGAGGCATTTGTGTTTCGTGTTGACCATGTATCACGGCCTTATTCCACGTTAAAATGTTGGTAACAATTGGGTTCTCCGTTCCTGTCCGTAAAATATAGATCGAGCTGGCAGATGCGACAGGATTTCGCAGATAATGGTAGGACATTGCTATTTGACAGATTTATAGGATGATCTATCTGTATCTCTATTGTGCATCCAAAAAAAAAAAAAGAGAGTAAAATATAGATCTTCCTAGAACATGCTTCACACCGAGAAATCGGATCCAAGATTCACTGCCCATGTGAAGGGACCGTGGAACTATAAAGTCAGATCAAAGATTGTCTTCCGATGTCAACAACCATGAAACCATGAACTCAGAATGCATGATTGTTAATTATTCTCTTCCAATGTCAACGGTTGGTGACAACCTGAAATCCGATCCAAGATTCTCTTCCAATTTGGCCTTTGACAAATTTTATATTATGCAGTGATAGAGCTATTCCCTCATAATTCAAATTCAACCTCTCTCGCACACACCGAAGGGAAGGGAGAGAAAAAATGGAAGGATGTAAAATTAAAGAGATAAATAAAATATTATGTTCAGTAAGGAAGAAAAATAGGAAGAATGAAAAAGTGGATGAATTAATTTTCTTTCTAACTCACTAAAATCAATCCCTCTAAAATCGGAAGGAAAGTGGATGAAAAGTTAATTATTTATGTTGAGATGTATCTTAATTGTCTATATATCTTTTAATATCTATATAATAAAACAGAAGTGTGTTTGAATTATATCCCAGTCATATTTTTTCCCTCAAAACCATCATCAGTCACTTATCTCACCCATCATTCCTTTGTCAGACTCAAACGTCAAATCACATCACTCACTTCTATTACATATTTAATTATTTATATATTTCCTCCCTAAAAATATCACACCACTAATTTCTATCATATATTTAATCATTTAATATTTATTTAATTTGTAATTAATATATTTTGAAAAAATTTAATATAGTGGAATCGATTTTTTGAACTCTTAAATTTTATATTTTATCGTGCCTTCAGGCACGGGTTATAACTATATATATATATATATATATATATATATATATATATA